TTAAACTTTCTATATATTTTAGTATGTGGATTACAGAGATAACTAGGCACACTGGAGGCAACGGTTCTTCGCTCGTTTATTCGTTGCTTCAATGCTTCCTGTAAGTTTTGGCTTAAAAGCGCATTGATTTTTGAAAGTTCTTCGAATATAAACTTAAAGCTAGCATCAGTAGTGTAGAGATTTGCTTCATACCTACATAGTGTCATCACAGCTAGCCTTATAAGTTCTAGGCACTTAACAATTCCGTCCAGAATTTCAAAATCGTAGTCACTGAAATTTACTGATATGGAGAGATCAATCATGGCCTTTTGTATGCAATCTTTTAGAAAAACAAACCTTTCTAGCATTCCATCAAGGCTATTCCAACGGGTTTTACAATCTAAAATAAGATTTAATTCTCGGTTGTATTTTCCGTGCACGTATTTCTGTAAAACAGTGTTTTTCAATGGAGGTCGAAATAACTTTACGATTTTTCGGACTTTGTTGACTAATTCGTTTATGTTGTAGCTGTCAGTTAGATCGTAAATGATCTCTTCATCCACAGTTTCATCGTCGTCGTCGCTATAATTATCATCACTTGACAGTTCTTCAATGATTTTCTGATGGTTTCTTTTACAATACGTTACTTCAACAACTGCAAGGTATAATAATTTAGCGGTTTCGGGACCAAGTTGAGGTCCTGGGACCATCATTGAGTCCCGGGACCACTTTTTTATGCTATGTCCCGGGACCGTCCCGGGACCAAGTCCCGGGACTGGATACCCTAATTACAGTTATTAGTTATTTTTTAGTGACAAACTGTAGGTTAGTTTTATTTTCCATTCAGTGTTTATTACAATTTCTCCCCTATCTAATTGTTTTTTAATCTTACACCTCGCTGCCGTTATTTATTTTTTCAATAGCTTTAAAAGCAGATTTAAAACCGCACAAAAGAAAAACGTCGGCGGCTGGCTCTTTCTGGGGGGCCCATAAAATCGATAATCCGATATAGGAGTGCGTCAAAGCCACTGATAAGCCGTAAAGTGGATATCAATTTGCATTTTCGACTAGTTACGGTTTGGAGGACGGCGCGGTCTCCCCAAAAGTGTCAAAAGCACTCCGGGGGATCGGCAAAAATTGACTGGAAACGGCGGCCTATCTGGCAGATTTCCAAAGGTTACGCACAAATTATGATAATGAATGAGACTGAGGTCGAGAGGGTGTAGTTTTTGCTCGGATTCAAAATAATTGGTCTTATGAAGACAATTAAGCTAGTATTATGTTGTGGAATATAGCGATCATAAGATAAAGTAGAAATAAAAACATAAAATTAATTAAAATGTTTTTTTGTACAGTGAAAGTCGGAAATTCAGTGATTGTTAACATTCACTAGGAAATGCTAGCAATTACGGATTGGACCAGTGGATGTTGTATTTTAAAGAGTTTTATCGACTTTTCCTAGTAATTTGTAACATTCACTAGTGAATTAAAGGTTACCAGTAAAAGTTATTCTATTGTACAGGACGAGTGTGGTGAGGAAGGATGTTAAAATTACAATTTACATCTTTAGTATATTTATTAAAAATTATAGAAAATAACGACATATTATAACCTTCTAAATATTAAAAGGAAAACATAGTAAACATTTTAAAGTGTACCAAACAATTTAAAAAAAACATTCGTAAACATAAGATTACTCAGTGGTACAAGGTTTTTTTAATAAAGTTCTTCATCGTGGACAACATGAAATATGCCCGAATTTTCTTCAACGGGAGTTTTTTCCAACCCGCTACTTCAAGCATATCAAAACGTTTAATAAGTTCATAGTCATTAGGTTCCTTTATATATTTTTCTCTTGCAAGCTTAACTTTTGGTATAACTTCATTATATTGCAAAAATGAAAAGCAAGCACCATTACATTCTTGCGAGAGCCTTGCGGAATGCGGGATAGAAACATCGAGCAGCAGAAGTATAACGACTTAAATTGACCCATCAGATTAAAAAAATAAGAATAGAGGGTATTTACGTGATGTAATATGGAAAAATAAGTACACGAGTATAGAGAGTAAGACCCGCATTTACAGGACTTGTATATGGGTCTTATACAGGTCTTATAAATTCGGGTCTTACTCTGACTACGGTACTGACTTAGCTGCTGAAACAAGAGAAACAAAAACGAAAATGAGAACAGCAGAGATGAAAATATTACGAACAGTAAAAGGGACTACACTGCTCGGCAGAATACGCAATACAGATACGCTAAGAGAGTTGGGAGTACAGGACGTTGTCAGATGGGTAAGAGTATTAATTATTATTATACCACATTTAAATATTAATAACATACTTTTATATACACTCAGATGCAAAAAAACGCAACGGAGAAATTTTTGGTCATAATTAATTTAGTGTTATATTTTTGTTATTTTTAGCCTTATTTTCATGAATTTTTTAGCAAGCTGTATATAATTATGTCAATTTTTATTCGTAAACTCAGTTTTTTATAAACTTTAGTATTTTCTTAGTATTTTACATATTATACAGAGTTAATCGAGAAGTTGTTTTTTTACACTAACTTTAAAACACTCACTGCAATAATTTCGTGTGTAAATTTTTCTTAAATAGAATTTTACGGTCAGAACCATGTCTCCTGAGCATTTTGTTTTTTGGATGATGTCAATACACGCCTTGGTTAATTTTTAAGAGCAAAATGAGCTTGCCACCAACAATTTGCAATTTTTTCAATTATCATTTCCTTTTTGAAGTTATTTTTCAATGTGACAAGGCGGCTTTGGTGATTATTGTGAACTATATACTACTATGAACCGCCCATCATGTTCTACGTTTGGCAAATGCTTACCAGGAGGGTTAGAGGTCACGAAGCAGTACCAGCTTCATTAAATGAACTTCGCTTGGTCCTTAAAGAAGAATGGGAAAGCATAACGCAATATGATATATGCAGCCTCAATGACAGTATGAACCGACGTATACAGGCAGTTATAGCAGCCAAGGGCAACAATACAAAGTATTAGGGTATTTTTTACAATTTTTTTCTCTGTTTGTATACTTAGTATTATAGATGTTTTCTTTTATATCGTTAGTTCTGTTATCATTATTAATGTTTATTAAAACCCGGACTGTATGGTTAGTCTTTAACGTTTTTTTAATGTAGTATAGAATATCCAATGCAGTGTAATATGACGTTACGACAATAGTCACCAAAACCATCTCGTCACATTAAAAAACTACATCAAAAAGTAATGATAACTACAAAAATTGCTAATTGATGGTTATCAGTTCATTTCGCTGTTAAAAGTTAACCAAAGCATGTATTGACATGAATCAAAAAACAAAATGCTCAGGAGTCATGGTTTTAACCGTAAAATTATATTTTAAGAAAATTTTTACACGACATTATTGTACAAGGTGATTTAAAGTTAAGAGCGAAAAAGGTAAGGTAAAAAAACAACCCCTTGATTAACCCTGTATAATATGCCAAGTATTAAAGTTTACAAAACGCTGAGTTTACGAATTAAAGTTGATATAATTATATACAGCTTGCTAAAAATTAAGTTTAAAAATATCAAAAATATAACACTTAAATTAAAATTTGACCAAAAATTTCTCCGTGACGTTTTTTTTGCATCTGAGTGTATAAATACTTAGGACATGAGATCGGTATTAGAAGGGATAATCAGACGCACGAAATTCTAAGAATTGGTTTATTTTAGGATAATTTATAATTCCGAAGAATAGCTTTTTCGTAAGCGGCAGTTTGATTTCGGAAACGGCAAATATCGACTCTGAAATTCAGCACAGAATTAGCAGCGCCTCAAGAGCATTCTGGAAAAAAATAAAAGACAGGGTTTTCTACAATCATGACTTGACCACAAACACGAAACTTGCAGTGTATCGAGCAGTAATAATCCCCACCATTTATATGGAAGCGAAACCTGGGTGCCGATGCCGATGCCGTACCGCCGGCGTCAGCGCACGAGCGCATTAAACTTGTTGCAACACCTTAGACAACTGTTAAGAATCAAATGGTACCACTATGGTTCAAACGTATCAGTCCTTGAAAAAGCAAGATGCGAGAGCACTGAAGTCATGATTACTAAATCTCGCTTAAGATGGGCTGGCCACGTATGCAGGATGCAAGAAAACCGCCTACCGAAATCTCTTCTTTATGGTGAACTTGTAGAGGGTAAGAGGAAACCGGGTGGACAACTCAAAGGATACAAGGATATTTTCCATGAAAACTTAAAGGGGATAAATATGCAGCGTGAGTAGGAGGAAACAGCGCACAATAGAACGCAATGGAGGAGAATTGTAAACTCAGTTAACAACGACAACCAAAAAGTAAAGAGGCAACAAAGTAATGAGATTTTTGAATGTCCGGAGTGCGGAAGAGAGATAACATCACGTACTTATCGGGCTTTTCAGTCACAGAAAAGCTCATGAAAGAAAACTCCTTGCGTAACCATCTTCTGATGCGTGTCAAATACTCGTCAGCGAGAGTGGCAGTAAGTAAGTCGTAAGCGGCATTCGATAAACTAAACCATATACTGAGATCTGATATTTCAATATGTTTAAAAAGAAAGGTATTTAACCAGTGTGTCTTGCCTGTCCACACGTATGAAGCTGACACACTTACTTTAACAAAAAAGAACATACTTAAAATACAGGTAAAGTACCAATTGACGTTTTTCGCTCATTTATCATATTCATTCTATTTGGCTGAAACATTCTGCATCGTTAATAATAATACTAATGATCTAAATTACAGTTGACATTATGGTGTTCTGGGTCAACTTAAAAAAGGAGGAGAATACAGATACTTGTCATTAGATACAATAAAGTTCTGTGAACAACTGCCTAACATTCACAGATTTATTCACCAAACTCTTAGTTCACGTAGAGCTTATCTAGGTTTATTCAGCTTTAGATGAGCTTAATTATGATCATGAGCACTTTGCAGCTCTGACCACGTAATATTTTAAAACAAGAAAACTACATAAACTTACCGTTCAACTCCACTGAGTCTTGGATGTCGATACTTCTTTGATAATAATAATCCACCACCCCATGCTGCCTGTAAAGTACAAAAAATAAACAATCGGCTGACGTAATTGCAAAGTTGATCTTACGTCAACATGGAGCCACATTCCATGTCGTTCACAAATATCAGCTATCTCGTTGATAGGATCAAAAGCACCTAAGACCGTGGTACCAGATGTACAACATACGAAAAATGGAATATGACCTAGAAATAGCGATTGACATGATACATGAAAATATTTGTATATATCTACATACCTTTGTTTTTTCTCTCAATAATCAATCTTTCAAGTTCTCGCGGAATCATTCGACCTGCTTCGTCAGATGGTACCATTATACAATTGTCTGTACCCAAGCCACAAACGGAAGCGCAGGATTTGACACTGTAATGACTCTAAAACATAAACAATAATTGTTTGAAAACTTTGATGAAGAGTCGGATAAAAGTATGGTTTTGAAACTTACTTGATCAGAAGTAAACATTACAAGCTGGCCTTGTATGGTAGCTATCCCTTTTTCTTTGTAATTAGGAAACATTTTATGCCTAGCTGCTAGAAAGGCGTATAAGTTTGATATCGAGCCACCTAAACCATAAAAAGTCAACATCAGATTAAGTAAAAAGGAATTTAAGCAGTACTGTTAGAGCGACTACAAATACTGAAATAAAGTATTATATCATATGATCGAAAATAAACGGTGTCAAGAACCGCTGGGAAATGGCAATTGATGATAATTTTGGCAAGGTAAATCTATAACTAGAAAAACTGACATAAAACTTGTCAAAAACTAACACTAATCAATTAAATAATAAATTAACCTTAAAAAAGGATGGAATGTTTGCAGACACATAAATTTATTTCCAAAAAAATATTATTTCTCGAATTTACTAGATACTGCGTGAAGTATCGACACAGTTCGAGTTATCTCGTACAGGCAAATCATTCTCCCGCCTCCACTACTTATTGGGAGTGCCATAAACTACAGTATGATCGTACATTTTTTAATTTATTTTTACTCTCATTACCTATAAAATTCGTATTTTTCAATCCTTCTACTAATTATTCAAAGCCGTCAGTCGTTTGTCGCGACTTTTGTACTTCAAAAAGTACTATAACAAGAGTAATACTATATTCAATAAACTGCAGTTTGGCTGAGACATTATGCTATAAATTCATCAATGATTTTACGTTACCCGGTGCTAGAATAGAATCTCCATCCCTCCAACCACTTCCAATAATCTCCCGCATGTGGGTCATGACGACGTTCTCCATAAGAATGAACACCGGAGCTATTTCGTAAGTGAACATGTTTGTATTTGCGGTGGCCGTCAGCCATTCTCCAGCCATTGATATCAAATCCAAACCGCAAGAAAGTTGGTTAAAGAACCTTGGGTGTCCTGGAATTTAGAACATATATAGTCAGTCATAAAAAAGTCATCTGTTAATAAAAAGACTATAAATATTTAAGTAAAACGTGTGACGAAAGAATCTTCATAATTTAATGAGATATGATACACATATTTATTATATAATAATAATATCTGATCTTTTATATTTTTTTAATAAATAAGTGGAAATTTCATACAATTTTTCGTATAATAATGTTCAAAAAATTCTATATGGGTTTTTCGCCACTGCAAGAAAATCTACAAAATAAAATAGTTATTCAGACGACGCGCGACGAAAAGAGATAAACTTTTCGTAACGTTAAGCATTTTTTTGTTCGTTAGGCAAATTTGTATATCTTTAAACCTAACTTCTGACAAGTAGTTTCCGTTTGGGATTAACGCAAAAGTGTTCACATAAAATAACTATTTTATTTTGTAGATTTTAGTGGCGAAAAACCCATATAGGATTTTTTGGAGAGATGAATCCGCCACATAAGTATAGACATTTTTTAATGTTCAAAAAGTGGCGGTCCCTCAATAACTGCACAAAAATCTAGAAATCTAATGCCCCCTCGGTGACAAAAATATTAAAATTTATCATTCTTTCGTTAATTTTATTTATTCCATAAACGAGCGTTACTATTACTTTCTAAACAAAACTATCCATTGTTATATGCTCAATATGCGCCACATATCAATTCTAACCATATTTCATTATAGATTTATTCTACCACGTTGCCTCAGTTCTTCGTTCACTACTTATAGGAATATTAGATCTAATTATAAATAGCCAAACCTTAGCTGCTCGCACCGATGACATCTTGGATAATTATTGTTGGTGGTTGGAATATTTGGTGTTCAGCAGCAAAAAAAATAGTACACCACAATACACCAAAACCGTTAATTGAAGAAGTAATTTTTATCATTTAGGGTTAATCCGTAGATTTACGGATTTTCGGTACAGTATGTTAATAATGACAAACATAGTTCTGAGAGGTAATTTAAACATTAATAACATACTTTTGGAACAAGTGCATATAAAAATACTTAGGACATAAGTTCGATATTACACGGGAAATCAGACACACGAAATTTCGATATTACACGGGAAATCAGACACACGAAATTCTACGCAGAATAGGTTTGTCGTGGGCGGCTTTCGGTAAACTAAAGCATATATTGAGATCTGATCTTCCAATATGTTTAAAAAGAAAGATCTTTAACCTTGTGTGTAACTTTTAATTTAACCTGTCCTCATGTATGGAGCTGAAACACTTAGTTGGACAAAAAGAACATACATAGAAAAGGTTATGCAACGGTAAATGGAAAGATCCATGTTGGGAGTTACACTTAGGGATAAAATACCCAATCATACTTCACGAAATCGAACAGGAGTAAGGGATGCGGTGATATCTGTCTCACATCTTAAATGGAATTGGGCAGGACATGTGGCTAGGATAACAAAGATGGAATTGGGCAGGACGATGGACAAAGATACTTGTGGAATGGAGACCAAGACACGAGGCCTATAGAAGCAGAGGACGACCTCCTAGACGATGGACAGATGATATTAAGAGAGTGGCTGGAAACAGGATTCAAGTGGTATAAAATAAAAAGAAATGGCTAGAGTTGAGGGAGGCTTTTGTTCAGCAGTGGACGGAATAAGTTAAATGATGATGATGATGTTCACGGTAATAGTACCGATTTTCTATTACTAAACAATTTAATACAATATAATCGAATAAAAACGGCGTCAGCGATGGCTATGAAATGAAAATCGCTGTCATTTTATATGTAAAATTATATGGGGTATGTTATCGATTGTCATTTCCAAGCCAACTGGACGCCGTTTTTTCGATCATACGGTATAATATTATATGATTAAACAAAGAACTGAGTCAGACTTGGCTTGGAAATAAAGATCGATGTTATATCATATACAAGATATTATGGTAAATGTCAATAGTCTTCATTGCCAAGTTGTTAATTCTATGTTTAACACGAATACATTTTCAAAACATAAATGCGGGTTTTTCATCCAAAGATATTTTCGTCAAGCGTATAACATAGATTACACATTTTAATATGGCAACACTTTCGCTTTCAGTCTTCGATATGCTTCCGCTGGGCGAATTAGAGAAAACAAGTAAGTGTTTTATGCGTTGGTCGCAGAAGGAATAGTAGCTCTGCCATACATCATACATCACTTGAGACGTAAGAGGAAGTCAAATAAGCCTTGTCACGAAATCGCCCATTAGGGTGCACACTTTACTTTTACACTAGACGTGCGTTTACACGGACGTGCGTTTCGCGTAGGCTCTCTTCGATGTCATATGGGAAAGCGGAGAGGTACCTCAGGACTTTTGCAACGCAAATATAGTGAATATATTTAAGAACAAAGGAAGTGTATCAGACTGCGGAAACTAAAGGGGAATTTCACTCTTGGCTATCGGCGGAAAAATTCTTCCAAAAATTATGTCAAACCGCCTGCACCCACATATAGAAAAAATCCTTCCAGAATCGCAAACGGATTTTCGCACTAACCGCGGCACCGTCGATTCCATATTTTCCATCCGCCAACTACAGGAAAAAGTAAAAGAACAGCAGTCTAAACTTTATGTTGCATTCATCGACCTAACAAAAGCCTTCGACTCTGTGAACAGAGATGCACTTTGGGCAATTATGAAAAAGTTCGGAGTACCCAACAAATTTCTTACAGTGTGTAAAAGCCTCCATAACAACAACCAGTCAAGAGTGTGACATCATGGATCACTAAGCGATCCCTGACAAATACAAGTGTTAGGCAGGGATGTGTCTTAGCGCCTCTCCTATTCAACATATTCATGGCAGCGCTCTCCATTATAGTGGACAGCAAACTGCAGGAGAGAGGATTGGGCATTAGATACAGATATGATGGCGGTCTGTTCAATATAAAAAGACTCAGGGCAAAAACACGTACAAAATTCATCACAGAACTTCAACGAACTGACGATTGTGCTCTAGTTGCAAAAACTGTACAGCAATTACAAGAAATGTTGAACACATATACCTGGGCATACGAGGCTTTGGGCCTTAAGCTAAACATCGACAAAACTAAAATCAGGTGCACTCCTCCGGAAGATCACAACAATGCTATAAAAATCGGAGAAGAACTACTGGAATATGTAGCGGAATTCAATTATCTCGGCAGTTTGATTTCGGAAAAGGCCAATATCGACTCTGAAATTCAGCACTTTAGCAGCGATTCAAGCGATTAGCAGCGCTTCAAGAGTATTCTGGAAATTAAAAGACAGGGTTTTCTACAACCATGACCTGAGCACAAAAACGAAACTTGCAGTGTACCGAGCAATAATAATCCCCACCATGTTATATGGGAGCGAAACCTGGGTGCCGTACCGCCGACACATGAACGCATAACAAGTTGCAACAGAGACACCTTAGACAACTCTTAAGAATCAAAGTGTTCCATCACGTCTCAAACGTATCGGTTCTTGAAAAAGCTAACTGCGAGAGTATTGAAGTCATGGTTACAAAATCCCGACTAAGATGGGCTGGTCACGTATGCAGAATGCAAGAAAACCGCATACCAAAATCACTGCTTTACGGTGAGCTTGTAGACGGTAAGAGGAGGCCAGGTGGACAACTCAAAAGGTACAAGGACATTTTCCACGAAAACTTAAAGGGGATTAATGTGCAGAATGAGTGGGAAGTAGCAGCTCACAATAGAATTCAATAGAGAAGAATTGTAAACTCAGTTAACAGCGAGAACCAAAAAGTTAAGAGGCAACAAAGCAATGAGATTTTTGAATGTCCCGAGTGCGGTAGACAAATAACATCACGTATCGGGCTTTTCAGTCACAGAAAAGCTCATGAAAGAAAATGCCTTGCGTGACCATCTTCTGATGCGTGTCAAATACTCGTCAGCGAGTAATGGCAGTATGTATGTATGTAGACGTGCGTTTCGCTAACTATGTTATTAGCATCATCAGCAGATGATTAAAACTGATAAAAACAGAAGTTTTAATATAAAGATAAGCCAAATCGCGATAAAGTTAGGCGACGAAACGCGACCTTGACCTGCTTCGAACTATTCTCCAAATAGTGTAGAGGGTGTATAGGGCGTGTATTAGAATAATTTTGTCTGACGAAAATTTTTATTTTTCAATATATTATGGTGCGTTTAGACTTGAGCACGCACGAACTGAGCGTGCGCGCACGGCATTCGTTCGCGCTCTCGGCTCCGTTCAAATTAAAAACTTATTTTTCGACGAATGAAGTGTTCCATTTGTGCGCGCAGAGCAGAGTTCTATTGGCGAAAATAATGGACAACCAAGAAATAGTCGACGCTGCAGTCATTGTTATGCACAGCTTAATTATTAAAAAGGAGAAAAAACGAAAACATTGTCGCTGGTGGCAAACCCAAATTTTTAGAAATCGATATAATTTACTGCAACAACTTAGTGTCTGAGAAGGGCTATGATCAGTTCAAAAACTTTACAAGAATGACCAGGCGCGACTTTGAATATTTACAAAATTTAATAATACCAAAAATTACGAACAAAAGATACAAATTTTAGAATAGCAATTTCATTAATATCGACATATTCAATATTAATTTTATTTACAAGGTCTTGCCATGCGTTTTTTTTGATTTTTTAATAATACAAAGAATGTTTAACATCCCATAATATAGACAACTTTTCATATTTTTCAGTTAATAATAACGAAGATTCATTGATCCACTCCATAATTTTAATAAAGAAAACGAAAAAAAATCACACACGCACGCACGAACGCAGACAAAACAAATTGTCGGTGCAAACTGAGCGTTCGTGCACACATAAAATCCCTTTGAGCACGGACCAAAAACCGACACCAGACGGATCACGTTCGCTGCTGCTCGCTCACAGACAGATTCAGAGTGAGCGTGCGCGCACAGCCGTTTACACTTGAGCATTCGCGGAGGATCAGTGCGTGCGTGCTCAAGTCTAAACGCACCATTATATTGA